GGGGGGGGGGGGAGGGGGGCAATTCAGTGTCTAAATGGAAGTCCTGCAACTGATTCGGAACAGTTTTTATTCTTAGAGACATATAGTCAAACAAATGCCAAAAGCTCAAAAACTTTTTGGACAGTGAAAGGCTTGGCTTTATTTTTAAGTCTGTTTTCTGCCTACGTGCCTTAAAAAAGAAAGTTGAAAGCAGGGGAAAACGAGAGAAAATGGTTTGAAATAATTGTCTGCAAATGAGTCTGTGCTTAAGCTATTTGGACACTCCAAACTGTTGCCTGATGAGTTTGATACCTTTCCAACAACTATTCTTCTCATGAGAGATTTTGAGGGTCGTTTGGTTTGGTTTTGAGTTTGGTTTGATTTGGGTTTTGTCCGGTTTCTTATGGAATGAATAACTATCCAGTGGCATCTGTTCTATGACCCAGTCCCTCAAAGCAGAAAACAGTCTATAAGGCTGAGGTGCAGAGCATAAACCAGAAATGATCAGATGCCAAGGGGCAATAGATGTGGCAGCAAAGGGGAAATAGGAATTGCTAGAGTTTTGTTATGACACATGGGAAGTAAACTGAAGAGCAGATGTGAGAAGAAAGTCAGATGCAGTCTGCCACCTCAGAGACAGAAATTCTGTCATTAGAAGATGGATACTATACCTATAGAAGGAAAAATAGGCTTTTCCAAACATCCCTTTCAGTATATTGTACAAATAGACCAGTTTTTTTGTGGAGGTTTATTTTTCCTTCTTGTTTAGTCCTTACAGGCTTGAAACAATTATTGCAGTGGTGACTTCTGTAGGCAATAGCTTGACAGCTCCAGCTCTGCCAGTATATTAGATAACTTTTAGAAGGTCATGGTCTTCCTTTTTCTGGAGGAGATTTAATTAATGATTTAGAGATTTAAAGTTCTACAGCTCCTTGTATGTTTCTGGAGATACTTATTTGTGAAGCACTGATGAATGCTATACCTTCATTTCTAAGGTACAAATGGAGGTTCCAGTGGTGGCGTACCTATTGATGTTTTATGGTGCAAAGCAGTTGTGCTGCTATACTTAAAGTATTGATGTTTTAATCACATTTTAACATTACAGTTACACAAAAAATATTCATTTCAGGTAGTAATGTTTCAGACCTACACCAATCAAAACAGTAAACCGATTGAAGCTAAATATGTCTTTCCTTTGGATGATAAAGCTGCTGTTTGTGGATTTGAAGCTTTTATCAATGGAAAACACGTCATTGGAGAGGTAAAATGTTATTGCTCTTTGCCTTTGATGTAGTTTCTTCAATCTAAAGATCCTTTGTTGTTACCACTTGCCTGGATTTCAAGGTAGTCTCGTCATTTAGGAGACTATTGATTAATTTTTCTGTCTATAGAGATGAAATGACTTATTTTGGGACAATTTTTCATAGGTTAAAGAAAAGAAACAAGCACATAGGGAGTATCGGAAAGCGATCAGTCAGGGTGATGGAGCCTATCTAATGGACCAAGATGCACCGGTATGTTGAATATTGTGGTTTAGTACCTACTTGGAAATTTTGCAGTTGTCCATTTATAGATTTGGTGCTGAATCATGTCCTTGTTGGGAAACTCATTTTTACTATTTGGACCTTATTTGGACCATACGTTTGGTCATTTTTAAAAACAACTATTGTTTCTTTAAATATGTGCTATGGCTTACGTAAAACAGTTATGTCTCTCTCAGGTGGTTTCCTTTTCCTTTTGTTTTCCTTTTTTTTTTTTTTTTGGTAAAAGATTAATTTACTTAATTACTATTGATCAGTTTTTTGCCAGACATTAAGGAATTATTGAAAGTTTGACATTTCTTATCATAGTCCCATTTTTCCTTAAACTTCACCAAAACCAAATAATAGTTTCTGTGTTAGCATTTGGTTTCAGTTTTAATTAAATTATTGCTTTGGAAAACATAGGCTTTAATGATGTCATTAAAGCTAGTTTGTGGGTTGTGTTGTTGTTGGTTTTTTTAGGATGTTTTTGTAATAAGTGTTGGAAACTTACCTCCAAGTTGTACAGTTGTGATCAAAATCACCTATATCACTGAACTGAGTTTTCAGCATGGTTGCATCACCTTTCATCTGCCTGCTTCTGTGTCACCATGGCAACAGGACAAAGCATTAAATGAAAAGACACAGGTTTGTTAAAATACAATCATAAAACAGCATCTTCTTGTTTTGAAGCAAAAGTTCTGTGCTTGGGGGATTGTAGTTACACAAAAGGCTTCAGTAAGTTTGTTTGTTTTCATTTCTTCTCTTTTATTAGAAGGTAATTGGTTATGTCCTTGTCATAGAGCAACGTGAACACAAACATAGGAATGCTGTGCTTGGTAGAAAGCCTCTATCTATCTCTGAGGATGTATTTGCTCCTGCAGGACTTAGAAAGTTGACTTGAGTTGGCACGTGTTAGATCTTGTAGTTTGAGTTACCTGCTGTTTCTGTGCTGCTGTTCCTGCTTTGGCTTGCAAAGACATTGTATTATCTCCAACTGAGCATCTGCTGAACACTCTGCTGTTATCCTTCTCTGCTTCAGGGACAAGTTTGCCCATCTGTTTCTTTGCATGCCCTTGATGGCTCCTGAATTCTCCAGGTGGGAGGGGAGGTCAGTTCTGTGTTTAAACACTAGCAGAGAGCCAGAAATGGTCCTTGTGGTCCTAGTCCTGTGAGATCATACAGCTGTATCGTATATCTGACTGTTCAACAATCATACCTTTGAACCGGTATTATACTGAGGTCTGAAGTTTACTCTGTCTTTGGGAGAGAAACGTCATACATTTGTCTTAATTTTAGCTGCTATGATGCTCAGATTACAAATCTATACGATTAAATAAAGGGGGTTCTATGCAATCCTAACTTAGTGATAAAATAAGAGAAAGGAGCTCCAGGGTGATAAGTGTCAGGAATGACATACAAATATTTCATAACTGGTGCGGGTAAATATTTTTTTTTCTTTATAGCATACAGTAAAAAAGGTTTGTGTTAAAGGAGTAAGACGACAGAAAAAGTAAGTTACTTTCATTACTATTATCTGCTTAATTTTATCAATAACTTACATGATTAATAAAAACATCGAATGTATTGTTTTTCTATTTATATGGAATATTTGATGGTAAGATACGCTATCAATAAACTGGTTCAATTTCACCTTTCACTCTACTCTGTTGTTATCCTTAGTTATTCCACTAAGGTATTACTCACCTAAGTAATACCGTAGTGGAATAACTTTTAATTATTACACTCTTTTTCTTCACTAAAAGAAACTTCCTTTTGTTTCAGAAACATTTCTGTTACTAAGGATTATATATAAATTCTTAAGTCACAAAACTTAATGAGAGCATGATCTTCATTTTTTTCAATATCAATGCACTTAATATTTTACCCTTCTTTGCATTTGCATTTTAAATAAAAAAAAATACAATTATCTGAAACTGTGATGTTGCTGGTCAAGTGAGACTTCTTGGAAACTGAGTGTTATAATTTTATTCCCAGTAACATTTCTGTATTTGGCTGTTCTCAACCTGAATAATGAACAATGCAGAGAGTAATAGCAGTAAATGTGTTAAAATTTAATGCTCTTCATATTTCCATATTAAAAACCATGAAAAATGCTTTTTATGGGCATGTCCTAGTTTCTTCTCTTTCTGTCAGCAAAGCTGGCATAAACCCATATCTTTTATAATTTTCTACAGTTATATTTAATCTTGAAATAGTGTTTCCTGTTATTAACTTGCTTTTATTCAGTACAATTACTACTGATTAGTAAAAATATTGTATAGATCATCTAAAGATTTGATTGCTTTGTCTGCCATATATGAGGAAATATGAATAAAAACTGGGAAGCGCTTAAGAATAGTTATTGTGTGAGAATGGAGATCAGGAATCTCTATCTCACTCTTTCCAGCTTCAGGTTCTAGAGGGAGCAGCACAAAAACATCCAAGTTAGGTGCAAACTTACTAATGTTATATCAATAACATAATGTTCTGGCTGCAGGCTGGTTCTCTCTGCAGATACTTTGGGGCTGTCCATATGTATTGCATCCACAGTCATCTTAAAGATGATGGAGATGTGGCTGTAAATAGAAAATAATTGCCCATATGATATGCAAAAGATGATACATTAAGAATGATTGAGGTTAGGACTCAGAATAGTCAAGAGTATTGAAATGGGCCCATGTAACAAAAATGCTGTAAAACTGAAAAATGCAAGGCTACATACAGATGAAATGATTGCAGCCCTCCGCATCTACATCTTGGGAGATTATATCCTGGAATGCAGCGACTACCAATAGCCCAGGGTTTGTTACTCACCCAGTAAGTCAACAACCTGGAACAAACAACCACTGTGAGCATTATGGCAGAAATGGCTAATACAGCCACAAAATATACAAAATGTGAAGTAGTGAAGAGATTATTTTACTTTGTCAGGTAAGACTGACTGAAATTGGCAAAATGCCAATCTGAAGACCTTAAAAAAATAAAAAGCAAACCAAAACATAAAAAACACAAACTCCAACAACAACAAAAACGAGAAAAAAACCAACAGCCTCAAGGCCACAGACATTGACCTCTGTCTGCACAATGAGAGGTGATTCCATGACATTGTGTGGTATCTTGTGTCTCTTATGTATCTCGTATTGTACGATTGCACCTATCAAATAATGTCATTACAGAAGTAAATTAAGAAGCAAAGACTAGAAGTTACAGCTGAAAAAAAGACATGCAGTTTTAGCAGTGAGATTTGGAACAGTCAGCCAGGGCAAACAATGAACTTGCCTTCTCTGAAATCCAGTTTGGCTGTCTGTTACGAAGCTTTGCTTTAGAAAATAGAACATTAGGTTAAATGAAGAGATAATTGGCTAAAATGTTAAGTAATGTATTATAGAGGAGATCATGCCAAATGGCCTCTTGATCCCTTCTAACCTTTTAAACTATGAATAACCATCATGAATCAGCATGGGTATTTTTTGGGTATCCTGGGGGCAGAAACTTGTCTAACTAGTTCAGTGTTCTCCACTTTCATCCAAAGAGTTAAGAAAGACAGGAAATGTAGCTCGTTCTTATGGAGATGTCATGGTAGGCAGATTAAACATCATCGTCCCTGGAGTGCCATTCCAGTTTCTTTTTCTTTTCTCTCTATTTAGTGGATTTTCTGTGGATATGTCTATTGAGATGCCATCTACTATTGAACGCATACACAGTTGGACACATGAACTTAAAATAAAGGTAAATTAATTTCACTGTAACTATGTCTCTGCCTTGGCAGTTTTGCTGTGTATTTAAAATGGAACTTTTATCCTAGAAAACACTTGTGCCAGATCCATCTGGCTTTGTGTGCTGCTTATTCTGCAAACAGCTTGGTCCTCTGTTTCCCTCGGATGACAATTTCTGTGGTGCTTGAAGCCTTTCTGTTTTGGTTCTCTTCTTATCTAAAAATACATCCAGGAAAGAAAATGATCTCGTAAAGAATGTAATATGTAAATAGAAGCTGTAACTTGTAAAATTTCTATAAACTTTTTGGCAAAAAAGTTTGAGACTACTCCTGTTAAATCTGCTGTCATCATTCCCTGTTCCCAGAAAGTAAATTATGTTCATGGTATTGTTGTTAAATAAATATTTAAATGCATATTTTTCTCCTCTTCTAGAAAACAGACTGCAAGGCTGTAATTAAGACTGTGGAGAACAGCTCTTTGGACATTAGTGGCTTTGTTCTAGATATCTGGATTTCTCAGGTCTACCTTCCTCGAATGTGGGTGGAGAAGCATCCCAACAAAAGGAGTGAGGTACTGAATAGCTTGTACTGTTCATGAGGTAATACTGAATATGCTTGAACATAATAAATGGGAACAGTTTAGTTTTGATGGGTAAAAGACAAAGAAAAGTTTCACACCATGGACGGTGGTCAATTTGATCTGTTTTATTAAGCTGAGTATTCTCCAGAAATTAATTTTCTTTTTAGTTGCATAGAATCTTGTTGCTTTTGATTTATCCTCTGCCTTGTAAGAGAGTAACTGTGTTTCAACACAGTGTCCAGTCATTTCTGTTAAAATACTTTGTGCTGTTGTTTGTATTTCATAAAAATGTTACTACAGTTTTTCAGAGGAGTGTTGCATTTGCAGCACTGGAAGTGAACAAATAAGTCATGGCTGAGGCTGGAAGTAGCTTCAGAGTCATGCAATCACTACACTGATTAAAAGAAGTAAAATTTTAAACCATTAAATTTGTAGGGCTGTATTTACATGTTATGCACAAACATTTATAGAATCTGTCAGTGTTTTATTTTAAGGCATCTGGCCTTCCTAGAAGATCTTACATGCTGCAGTGATTATACTCAAAGTTATATGAATCTTTTCTTTTTCACTTAAAAGTGAAAAAGACATAGTTTGCACTTTTAGCACTCTGGGATCACCCAGAAACAGAATCCAGCTGTGGCTGTGTCACAGAAGAGCTCATTGTCAGCACTGGAAAACATTAATAAAAGGCTAAGTAAGAAAGGAAGGATCAGTTCAACCTCTTTTACCTTCACTCACAGTAACTCCTTGCCTGAGGAATACATGTAAAACTTAAAATACGTGATTTCACGTTATTAGAAGCTGTTTCGTTCTCCCACAGTTTTTGTGAGAGTTACATTTTTGTTTATATTCAGCTCCTTTTTATATTGTTTTTTCTTAAATAAGTAAAATGCTGCAGAGGTGAAATGTAAAGTATTTGTGTTACCAATCTGTCAATACAATAATGGAATTGATTAAAAGAAGTCAAATGGCAGATAAGATTGTTTTCTTCCTGACAATGATGTCTTCTGTTTTTCTTCCTTTTGATCAGAGTTGTTTAGTTTAAATGTATTAGTTTAGATTTCTTTCTGATCACTGCAATAATACTGCTATTCCTCTAAGGAAAAACCAAAAAAGGTAGAGATTCCTGTTTGTGTTTCCATTGGAAACACTTTCACTCCTTCAAGCGTTTCATTGTTCTGCTTTTCAAAGCCTTTGCTTTTTATAGCATCTCTGTTCACAGCAAGGACAGTATGCACTTCTGGTTTACGTATTTTTTTAAATTCTAGTACTTCTTACAAACTGATGGTGGTGGCAGTGATAATAGTAAAAAATCATAGCTGTGATTTTTTTTTTTTTTTTAAACTTTTACAAGAGAACCCAATGCTGTTTGCAGAAGAGGGAATCAGATGAACATATAACCACAAAATTCCTTTTTCAATTTTTCATGTGGTACCTGGGATATAGATAAAGGACAGGGAAGTTGCCCTTTTCAGGAATTAAGAGTAAATTACATATATTTGTTTAAACTTTGAAATACAGCTATATTCTGCTCTCATTCCATAATAAGAAAAATGAAGATATTTGGGTACACTTTTAATGAAATAGTATTTGTCCACTGCGCTGATGACTTTGTTTCTCCCTGTGTAGGCTTGCATGCTTGTATTCCAACCAGAGTTTGAAACAGCACTTGAAGAGGAGCACCTGTGCAGTGAATTTATTATTTTATTAGATTGCTCGAATTCTATGGCAGGTCCAGCTCTACACCAAGCAAAGCAGATTGCTTTACGTGTTTTGGAACTACTTGGTTACAGACAAAGAGTGAATGTAATCAAATTTGGCACAAGTGAGTTTCTTTATTTCCTTTTTACCTGTGAGGCACCTTTTGCCTTCTTGTCATGGCTTAATTTTATGCACATCGTTATTATCCAACCGGCATAATACATTGAACATAATACTCCAGGAATGTGTAGCAGTATGGAGTGCTGCTACAGGATGGAGTGCTGCTACTCTGGCATTCCAGTCTGAAAACTTATACATATTGTTCCTACATGCTTCATATTTTAATGCTCTGAATATCAATCTTTATTCACAGATTTCACAGAGTTTTCTTCTTTTTCAATGAATATCATAAATGATGTGGAATCACTGAAAAAGTTTATTATGGTAAGTAAATAAGTTTGGTTGTGTTGTAAAGAATACTTCTTTGTATAGGATGCTTATCATTGCAAAGCTCTGTTAGGCAACTTTTCCTCTTTTTAATTTTTCTTTAGGTCAGCTTCTAAAATTTTTCTGTAACTTAGTCTGTTTGAAGTCTGTTTTCCCTAGTAACAAGCCCAGCCACATCTGAATATTAATTCCAGTTTGGTTTTAAGTGATTGCTTAAGTGGAGCTGAATAGCTATCAGTGTTAGGAGATTTTTCAGTGTTTCCCCCTAAATTTATCTTTTGGAGTCTCATACCTCTCATTGCGTGCTCACAGCAAAAAGAGAGGAAATTATTTACTTCCTTCCAGAAATCTATAATTTGTAAGCAAAGGCACCACTTTACTTACGCTGTCCATTCACTGAAGGGACTTTCAGTGAAAAGGAAAATGCTTTGGCACCAAAAGATCAGAGGTAGACTATTTTGGACAGCAGGTTTTGGTTAATACCATATTTTGTCAGTGCCAGATGCAGGCTTCTCAGCTGTAACTAAAGCTCCTTGAGGACACCATAATGCTTAAGATACTAATATAATGGATGTCTTGGAAATGGGATGGTAAGATGCAAATGGCGATCAATGCAGAGTAACACAAAGGGGAAAACAACACTAACTAAACCTGTACAATTTTTATATTTGGAAACCAAGACTCATGTATAATGAAGTAAAGATTAAATTATACATTATATGTTATTTTAGGAAAAAAATTAATTAAATTCAAACTAAAATTGTAATATTTTACTTTTCAGTCTGCTACTGCAACATCGGGAAACACTGATTTATGGAAGACCTTACGTTACTTAAGTCTGCTGTTTCCTTCTCAAGGACACCGGAACATTCTTCTTATATCAGATGGGCACATTCAGAATGAGAATGTGACCTTCCAGATTGTGAAAGATAATGTCCAACATACAAGGTTATTTACATGTGGCGTTGGGTAAGTACAAAGTTAGTTAGTTAGCAATTGCATTTGTTTAAAATCACTGATAATTTATTTGACGTGAGAGGTTAATAAGCTGTGAACTGTCTGATGCCTGATTGTACTGTCTTAAATATATATATATGTTTAGATTAAATGCAGAAATGTTTGTCTACCTTTAATAATGTAATGGAAAATCTGTAAGGATTTTCGAAGGTAAGATGCCTACAATGACGTTAATTCGGTGTCCAGGTCTTAGCTATTCATGTCTTTGTTCACTAAAATAACTATACTATTTAATAATATAATTGGAAAATACAAGAGTTAACATTTTGACACGTTGCATTTTACATTTTGGTATAGTCTCATTTTAATAGTGCAATTTCATTGCAATGCTAGTAGTCGTATAATTTTATTATTTAATATTAATTTGTAAGTTAATTACTTAAAGACAAAGTAAGCTCTAGACTTCTCAATGATCAGAGGAACAGGCAAAAACTCACTGAAATTCATTGCAATGTAGTTTGACTGTTACATTGGTAAAGTAATAATGGTGAAGAGGTGTAAAAGAGAAGTTTACTCTTGTTCATACTCTTGTGTAGACAAAGGGAGTGTTTTTCTTGAAGGCTGAATTAATGAAAAAAATATTTTTAAATACTGCAAGATTTGTACTTTACAGAGTTGTACAAGGCAGCCTAATCTGTAAAAAGACTTTTAAAGGAGCAATAAACCTTAAACCCAAGATGTTACGTGTTCTTAGCATAGATACAATTGTACTATTTAATTTTGCCTTGAGGGGTTTTGGTGAGGATTCACTAGGTCGCTAAGATGGTGGTATGGTCCTGTTGAGAAATGAGTCTACTTTCTGTCCAACAAATATTCAGGACATACTGTGCTGTTTCTCTCCCAAAAGAATTCTCATCTGCTTAATTTTTCTCCTTTAATCCTCTATAAAGCTCTCATTTGTGCTTATACCTATGAAATATCTTCACAGTAGTCAGACTGAACAGAGCCTGCTGTTCTGTCAGGCTAAGAAGCGATACTGTATTGGTTATATCCATGTTGTTCAAACAGTAACATTCCCTGCTGACACTGAACTTTGCTCTAAGATAGCTATGTCCATGCTAAATAGCTCTACTGAGATTGAGGTTAATTAGCTCAAGAGCAGGATTGTTTTGATGCAGTCTTATTGGTGTTTGAACCTAAATTAATTTTTCTGCACTGTGACACGTAAAAACTTGTGTTCCATGCAATCTCCTCAAATGCTGTTAGGAAATTTCTAACAGAGCAGCACATTCATTGGCTCCATTGCTTTCAGTTGGTCTGTCCCCTGAAAAAGGGATAGAATTTAAAAAATTGAGATTTAGAAAGCTTGCAGTACTAATTAAAAAAAAAATTAGAAATAGTATCAGATGAACAATTGAATTCAATAATTACATAAAGAATTTTTTTGTTAGTTCCACAGCAAATCGACACATGCTGAGATCTTTGTCCCAATATGGTGCTGGAGCATTTGAATACTTTGACCTGAAATCAAAGTGTAACTGGGAGACAAAGGTACATTTATAAATCTTGACCGTATTCACTCTGTCATCATTGTCTGCTATAACAGTATCTGCTACTGCATAGCTTCAGTATCTCAAAATGGAAATTACTACTTTTCATAGGATCCCGTGGCTTTGCTATTTCAATGAGATAGTTCAAGAAACATTTGATAGAAGGTGGAAGAATAAATGCTTGTTAAGCCTTCTTTTATTTCAAATATAAATTGATATGAAGTGAGAAGGAGAAGTCTTCCGTTTGAGTATTACAAAGGTGCCTTATTTTCAGCAGGAACACATGTGCTATAGGAAGGGATATGTGACCTGTAGAAACCCCCTCAGTTCTTTGATCAGGGAGGGAATTTGTCACTGTAGGTGCCCTACCTTCTCATTCAGATTGGTCACTGAATGTGTAAAAGAAAACAAGAAAGCCATGACTTGGTTTATTTTTTCTATTATTTTTTAGAGAGCTCCTGTACTTTTCTTGCTAAGTGCAATAACACCAACTTGGAAAAAGTTTAAAAAAAATGTGAAGCTATGTAAATAATTGTCCCTGAATGGAAAAACATGGCTTTACTTCTGTCAGAGGCCACAGTCCGTCTACATTGTCCTTGGCTATAGTGACGAAGTCTGTAGCAATTGTGTTCTGTAACTTTTGACTGTTGGTGCATCTAGAAGTTTCAGGCAGTCTAGGACCCAACATGCAGTGCTTTTCAGTTTCCCTTGGTAGTTATGTGTCTACAGCACTATGCTATGCCTTGAGTCTGGTCCCTCCTGGAACAGTGACAGTAGAGAAAGAAGGTGCTGCAGCAAGGCTGGCATCTGGCACGTTTTGGCCCAGGGGAATGGATGAAAGCTTAGATTCCTCCTCTTGCTATTCTGGCTGTCGTTTGAGTGCAGAACTATCCAGAGCAGGCCATGGAGATGTGCAGAACTGTTGGCGTATCTCAGAGTTCACGTGTAGGAGATGGTGCTAAGTTTAGCAGCCCATATCCCCTAGCCTGTTTGGCAACGCTGATGGATAAAAACTTTATTCTCAAATTTCAGCTTTTACTTTAAAGAAGTCTCATTATTTCAGAAGCCAGTAAAATAACGTCTGAGTGAAGTACCTCCAAACATTAGACTCATTTTTATCAGTAATAGTATGTGGCTTGTTTTAGTTGTTCAAAAAAAAAGAAAAATAAATTAGCTCCATTCACGTGGGAAATATGTTATTTTCTATTGAGAGATTATGTTTTCTTTGGAAAGCCTGCTAACAAACAGAGCTAATTTCTTTTGCTTCTTTGTACAGATACAGAGCCAGGTGTCTAGAATACTGTCTCCAGGATGCAGTTCAGTTTCTATTAAATGGCAACAGTTTAATATAGACGCACCAGAGCCAATGCAGGCTCCTGCTCAAATACAGTCTTTATTTAACAACGAGAGACTTCTTGTCTATGGATTCATCCCTCACTGTACGCAGGTAAAGACTGGAATGCACATGCACTACTGGATAGAAATTCATATGTAAAACAATCTCAAAGGAAGCATTACATTGTATTATATATTTTCTGTGCAACATGCACTTAGCTTCTTTTTCATTGCTAAATATAATTAAGTTACTCTTTAATTGTCATTATTAGTCTTCTCTCTAAGAAGTAGAGTTACCTAATTTAATATTCCTATCAGTGTGTTTTGGTAAATACAGGATTCCTTTATTTGTGACTGTCCCCGTGTTGTAAGGGAAATATTTATAAACCTAGACATGCAAAGACTTAAGGATTTGAGTTATGTTCGGGAAGCAGAACAGCATGCAGTGTGCTGATAACATAGCTTGAGAGAGAAGGAAACAGTATTACTTTTTTTTTTCCTTTTAGGCCACCTTAAGAGCAATAATAAATGATCAAGAACTACAGACTGTGGTGTCAACTACTGAACTACAGAAGACGACAGGAACAGTGAGTTTGGCCAACATTGTACATGCCATAGTGAGACAAGCTGCTTTGAACAACTACATGCTGCTTCATGCTCTTTTGAAGGAATTGAAACCCTCGTTTTAAGCAGCTCTTGCACTTACACTTTGGCTTCTGATGTTTTAAAACAGACCTTCAGTTTTCAGACTTTTAAATGGAAACTGTTTTACATAGAATTTGTCACCTTTCTATGTGCTTTCTGACATAAAACTGAAGCTTCTCAGAACAGGAAGTGCTGCTTCTTACTTTGGCAGTCTGTTTGGGCTCTAGCTTTATATTTGGGTTGGCTGTTCTTCAGATTACTTCTGTGAAGGAGCTGCTGCAGCGTTCTCTTTCATGTTGTAAGTTGTTGCTATGTGGAACATCTCATTGCTAGTCTGTCATCTCAGAAATGTATGGAAAAAGAGACAGTAGGGTGTTACTGGCCTTTTCTCTGCTTCAATAACAATCAAGTAAAGAGTCTTCATGCAGAGGAAAGCACAGCACCCATTTTGAAAAGGAAAACAAGCTTAAAAGCACCATTTATTAAATCTAACAGGTGTCTACACTTGAAAAAAAAATCAAAAGAATAGTCAATCTGCAGTAATATTTCTGATACGACTGTCACTCCTTCCCCGTTAAGCAAAGCTGATTTGTTTTCAAATGGAAATGATACTGTTCCCTATTTAGTGTAATCTGCTTTGAAATCTACTATTATGGGTTGGTTTCAATGGACATGTTGGTCGTGTTCGTTTCTGTAAGGACTGTTGGTTTCCTCAAGGACAGTTGGTTTCCAGGGATGTGCCCCCTACAGGCAAATAAAATTGGCAAGCAGAAGCAATGTGTTTGCTTGCCATAATGAATTTTTGCTTTTAGAAAAATACCTCTACTAAAAATTCCAGGTGCAGTTAAAAAAAGAAAGTTTTGAAAAGTGCAAACTGAAATGGCTAAATGATAAAAAACAAGGTCAAAATTGGAAAAAAAAATGTTAATTCCTACCTGTTTCTTTTGCCAATCTACCTTAGCTCAAAAAATAACTACTTGCTTAAGAGATTTTCTTCAAAAATGGCTTTTTCTGACATCTATCCTATTCCCCCAAAAATGAGCCAGTGGGAATGTTTTGGCAATTGGAACTGGAATACAACTGGACTTTACCACATTGCCCCCACAAAGCTCACTCTCTTTGTTAGCTTTAACGTATTGAAGAGACCAAAATTGTTTTTCTTTTCTATGGAAGACTGGTTTAATTCAAAAAAGTAATTTCTGGTTAGTACAGTTCAGTATTTCCCTTTTCTTTGCCCAGCCCCTTGGGTCAAAAATTACTCGATTATGGTAAACCTAATGATTTTTTTAAAGTTGAACACTCTAGACTCACTTTTCCCCCACATTCTGTATTTTTATGGACAGGATTAATTTGCCTAACTAACCTTTATAGATATTTTTAGTTAAATTTTTGGTTAAATTGGTATAGATATATAAAACCTATACAGGTATTTTGGCGAGGCAGTTGCCAGGCTCTGTGTACAGCCACTGGAGAAAAATGCGTATGTCCAGAAGGGGCATTCTTCCTACCTGTTTTACTTAGCCATTTCAAGTCGGGATTAATTGCCTGGTGAAGTTTTTGTTTGTTTACATGCCTGCTTTTCTTTCCTCACCCTTGACTCTAGAGAGAATGTGCACAACAAGTGAAGATCTAGGTATTTTTGAATTTGCTGAAATTAAGTGAAATAAAAATGTACCATAGGAGCAGGTTGTTCCTGCTTTTCAAATGGAAAATTAGCTTGACCCTTCCTCAGATAATGGGATTCTGTGTAAATAAGGAAGCTAATTGCCTGAAGCTGGACCTCATAAATGAAAGGAAGAGTTTAAAAAAAAAAAAAAAAAAGCTACTGCTCTTATCATCAGTTTATTTTCTTTCTAGGTTCTGCACAAACTTGCAGCAAGAGCTTTCATTAACGACTACGAAGATGGGATTCTTCATGAGAATGAAACAGAACATGAGGTTTGATAACCTGAAATAAAAAGTAGACGTTTAAAATGCTAAATATCAAACATTTCAGTGGGATAGAGAAGATACTCTTGCTTTGTTAAACATAACTAGAGAGTTGCAATTCTAATATAATTTTAAGGTTAAAGTCACCATATAATCATGTTGTGGTTTAACCCCAACTAGTGATTAGAACCATATTAGCTGCTTGCTCCAGCTCCCCGAGTTTGGATGGGGGAGAGAATCAGAAAAATGAGAAAACTCTTGGGTTGAGATAAAGAGAAGTTAACAAATTAAAGTGAAAGCTGCACATGTGAGCAAAGCAAAGCAAGGAATTCGTTCACTACTTCCCACGGGCAGGCAGGTGTTCAGCTCCCACCTGGGTAATGGTTATGCAGGGAGAGAAACTCTGAATGTCCCCTGTTTCCTCCTTCTTCCCCCAGCTCTATATAGTGAGTGTGATGTCTCATGGTATGGAATATCACTCTGGTCAGTTGGGGTCAGCTGTCCCAGCTGTGTCTCCTCCCAGCCTGCTCGCTGGTGGGGCGGTGTGAGGAGTAGAAAAGTCCTTGAGCGCTGAGCAACAACCGAAAACACCAGTGTGCCATCAAAACTATTTCTCATCCCAAATCCAAAACATAGCACTACACCAGCTGCTAAAAAAAAGAAGTTAACTCCATCCCAGCTGGAACCAGGACAAGTTATATCTTCCCAGATAAGATTTTGAAAACTTCTAGGACAGTCTTTTCTTCTTCCCCAGTGTAAGAATGTCCTTTATTGGCATAATGTGTGCATATTTTTCCTAATCTATACTCTTGTCAGTGTAGGCTATTGGTGATTCTTCTTTTCCTGCGACATACAACATTTTAGTTTTGGGTAGATCAATACATATCAGTCCAGTGAAAGTCCGTAGCTTTTGTATAGAATATGGTGGAAGATAATGACTGACATTTTATAGATAAACAGACTTTATGATCTGTTAAAAAAATGGCTTTTAGCTACTTAAAAACTTACCATATTGCCACCTTGGCTTATTTAAGACTTCAGACTAATTCTTATTATAAAATACAGCTGCTTCTTACACTAGCAGGATAGAACCTAAAGAAGTCTAACTAGAGAAAATGCATATCCTTGCCCAAAGTTGAGTGAGGGAGTAGAAGAAGTTAGAAAGGAGCAGACAGGCAGGCCAATATATTCACATGAGCTCTTCCTTTTACATGTCCCTATTTAGAGCACGTGAGTGTGTATATAGGTATGTGTTCAGTTTTGACATCAATGTATCTTTTAGCTGATTGTGGTTTTTCTGCCCATTCCTTTTGTTAACAATATAGATGAAGAAACAAACCCTGAAAAACATGATTATTCAGCTCAGCTTGGAGAACTCAATTATAAGCCAGTTTACAAGCTTCGTTGCAGTTGAGAAAAGGGTATGTTTTCTATATATCTTGTTTCCACCCGCTTCTCTATCAAAAGACTCTAAATTCTGTGACTTTGTACATATCAAAACTAATCTTCCTTTTGCTGAACAATGGCTATTCTTTTCCAGTAGAGCTAAAACTATTATTTTGACATTGTTTTGATTTCTTCTGCATTATAGCAAGTTATTTTCCATTTCTGTCTCTTATCTTGCTTGTCGCTACGTTACAATCAAAGTTTGTCAATCTGTGTGTTCCTGATGTGATTTGATACAAGGGCTACGATTCCAGATAGTGCTGTGGGAGCCAGACAGGTCAAAGGACAATAGGACATAAGCCACAGAACCCTTTCTCATAAAGGGTAAGGATGCCAAACTGTAGCAAATGGGCCACTCTAGCCATGGATTGCCGAAGTAATGGATTTTGTATTGGCAAAAGTTGTTCTAGGGAAGTCTCAGGTGGGAGTCACAGGGAAAGCAAAGGTTGAAAAATCTTCCTTTAATATTGCAGTAAACTATGGAACTTTTTCATTTGTTTTCAGTATTAGAACAGTGGTAGGAGGAATAAAAGCTTTGCAGCAAACGGAATGTAATACATATAAACAACAACCTTGAAATTCAAGGGTCAGGAGGAGGAGTTTTTGAATGGAAAGCTGTATCATGATAAGCAAGATGATATCAGTTGGATTAAATATTATATGGAGCACAGAGACTGGAAATTCATCTGACCAAATACATGTGTTTACATTTAGCAATAAATCAGTCACATTTGCTTTCCTCTCACGGTAATGGAAATAAATAGATTTTTCTAGAGCTTGATTCATCTCATCCTAAAGTTAAATACCTAAAGCAGTTCAGATTACTTTTCTCAAGATGTCTGTTTCTGAGAACTGATTATAGGGGTTACTTGTACTCACTATTTCAGATTCATGGATCACTTCCTCCAGGCTCAAGAGCAGACTATCCCAATGAAACGAAGCCAGGTGAAAATGCCAGGAGGCCAGGCGTGTACATGGATGGACAGGAACTCCTGGAAAAATTCTAAGATAGAAAGGAAGTGTACTGACAGTGGAAGCAGGGACAGATAACCTGGAAGGAATATATAGTACATATCTGAGCATGCAGAGACATCATTAGGAAAGCCAAAGTCCACATGATTCTCTTTTACTTCAAGCTAGGACAGATGATAATATAAATAAAAGTAGGCCTGAATGAAGAAATCAGTGGAAATGCTGGATAAAAACAGGATACCTTCTTCTATTTTTACTGTTTTGTCTGGATGTCTATGTTATTATGAAAGAACCAATACCAGTAGTATATGTACATTATATAATCAGATTTTTCTGAAACTGCTGCTTTCCTGAGTAACAACTCCAGCATTTGCAATTAAAAATGAAAAGACAGACATGCATTCCAAAAAACATGTCATTAAAAGCAACAATAAAATGTAACACTGTGAAGTTATTAGCTTTCCCAAGGTCAAGGACTACTTTTCGAAATAAGATTACTCAACTGAGTCAATTTAAATATCTCTATAATGCACCTGAATATCCATCTGGTACATAACAGCAACAATATTCAGAAGAAAAAATATGTTGCAGATTAGCAAGGATCACCTGTGTGATTTAATGAACTAGTTGCTTACGAAGGGTGTTCAACAGATTATTATCTGTCATTCTGATTTTTCTATATCTGGTATTGCAATTCTGCAAAAGATTCAGTTTACACGTGTCAATATAATGTCTCCGAAGAAACAGACTTCTACAAGGTTATGTTTTAATTATGTCTGTAAATATATTAGCTTTAATGTCATTTCTAGTCTAGGATGACTCTTTTGTCCCACTGGAACAAAAGATTGCAGACATCTTAAGGCAAAAACACCTGCAGCACACAATGCAGTACCATGCAGAAATATCCAAACTAGCCCATTCAACTTGTCGCTGTATTATGCTACCTAATTTGTCTTCTTAATATGATTTTGCACAATGCAAAGTAATTTAAGCACAGCTATAATAATGCTTAAGTTTGCTTTGTTTTAAAGGGTAGCAATAGGATTCTGAGAAAAAGAACTGCACAAGACTTGGATTTTATTTCAATTACGGAGATTTGAACAAATTACACATACAAATACATACTGTCCACCTTTATATTTCATGTGAATCTAATTACTGGCAGTATGTTGTCCCTTGATATAGTAAAAAATGTGAAGTTACATTTTCTGGTCTTTTGTGTATACTGAGTTTTTTAATGTACTGCATTGTCTGCTTATTCCCTGTTTTCAACACCTTTAGAACTCCCAAAGAAAAATGCGCTGTCTCTATAATGCCAGAGAATTTTCAGGTTCATAACTGTGATGCATTTTAATTTAGGATGCTAGTGAAACTTGTTCTGCTGATGCTCCAAACATCCTGGAAATTATAGCTCAAGAAGATGTAGATTTTTTACCTTACATGGACTGGGACCAACAGACAATGGAATCTGACTCCTTAATTGGAGGCCTTACTTGTACCTCAGTAAGTACATTTATTTTATGGTTTTTTTGCTAACATTTTTGGTATATTATCCAGTAGTGGTGCTGTATTGTTTGTGTAAATGTCTAGTAATTGTTCAACTTTTAATTATTTTGAATATAATTATTGCTACACAAGTACTGTGTGGAATTTTACTATACGCATGAAAATTTGGAGGAACCTGTCCCAAAAAATAAAGTACACTTAAAAATATAATGAGTGCAGCAGAAGTTTTGAGAGACAATATGATAATACAGACTTTTTCTCCCTTCCAGAAGAAACTAACACATGTTAAGAGAGTTCTCTCATAAGAATATGCTAGTGTAGGTGAAGTCTTAAATGCAACTCTGAGAAACACAGGGGGAGAAGGACGAGTTTCAAGGAAGATCAAGGTGTTGAGTCTCCACTAGCAGAGAGGTACAGCCAAAGCAGAGGGACCACTGGGAATGGGGATTGGAAAAAGAGAAGATATTGCTAGCGTGCAATGGGACAAACCCTGGGGTGAGGGAGGAGCAAAGAGAGAAACTTGAACTAGGGAAATTGGATGTTTGCTAGTTATGGTAGCTCTCTCTTGACTTTAGAAACTACAAGAGATGCCTGCATCAGTTAAGTCAGCAGGTATAATTGTGTCAGCCCATAAAGTCTTAACAGGTTAAAGCTTTACATCTCCAAATTTTGTAGGGGATTCAAGAAAATTACTGTCTATTACATTATGTCATGCATGACCATGTTGTGCATTTAATACAGCTTGGGAGCATCATCTCAGCCTGTAGTCTGTAACGTATTAAGATTGTGAGCTATTGACAACAGTATCTGGGTGTGTGTTCTGTAACTTAGGTCAGCTCCTATAAAGCCATTTTCCTGATCTTTTGGCCCAAGAATTCCTAGGCAGAAGAGTACCAACCATCTGAGTTGGTGTATGGTGGCAGTATAGCCTTGGCTCTCTAGCTTGCATGCAGCAGCTGCTGGACCTCAACTGGTACATGTGCCAGAACTATAGCACAGGCAGCATCCATGCTTCACTTTGTGTAGATCTGTCTTCTCTGTATATAAAACAGTGTTGTACAGTGGAACTTCCTTATAATCATCATGATATGAATCATTTTTATCTTAATAATGCTCGTATTTTGTCAAAGTCAAATTTTCCTCCGAATTTGCCCAGTGTAGGGTAGAATAGGGTAAGAAATTTTTAGTTTAGCTGATATATTACTTTCATTTTGAACATATGAATGACAGTATGATACTGCATACAATATAAGAAGAAATACTGTTTTGATTCAAAAGATAGAGATATCTTGCTAATTCTGGAGTTATTTTGTTTCCTTGCAATTTTACTAAACAGGCACGTTTCACAGAAGTAGACAGTGTTAATTCAGCTGTTTGCCTAAGTGAGAAAGATGAACCTGAAAGCTTGCAATTGCAATCAGAAGAAGTTCCTGTTAGTCAGAAGAGCACGTCACCAAAGAACATGGCGCAGGACTCTGTAAATGTTCCTGAACTTGAAAGTGATATTTGCAGTCTCCTATCAGCTTTCAGTTTTGATAGAGATATCACAACGAAGAGAACATCGTCAGGAACAATGTCACCTTCACCACAAGAGCTTCATCCGCTCCAAGTTGCTGAACTTTCCACATCAGTTGGTTTTAAACCTAAGCCAGGAGGAGGAATTGATCTGACTCAACAAAAATCACTTCAGTCACCTGCACTTAAAAAATCAGATGTTTGTCTGGATTCCCCTCAACGTGCTCCTCCTCCTCCTCCTCCCCTTGTCGGTGCTGCTCCAATGTTGGTGAAAGGTGCGGAACAAGCTGATTCTTCTGGTGCTGCTCCGATGCAGCCTTTAGTATTTTGTTCGGCTGCCCGTTTTGGTGCTCCAATACAGAAATCTTCATTTGGCTCAGCTCCCCCTTGTCCTACTCCAGCACAGGGTTTTGGATTTGGTTCAGCTACCACTTTTGGTGCTCCGATAGGGAGTTCTTCATTTGGCCAAGCTCCCCCTTGTGCTGCTCCACCGCAGGGTTTTGGATTTGGTTCAGCTATCCCTTCTGTTACTCCACTGCAGAATTCTTCATTTGGTTCAGCTGCCCCTTGTGCTGCTCCGGTGCAGCGTTTTCGATTTGGTTTAGCTGCCCCTTGTGCTGCTCCATTGCAGCATTTTCGATTTGGTTTACCTGCCCCTTGTGCTGCTCCGATGCAGGATTCTGTATCGGGTTCAGCTGCCCCTTGTGCTGCTCCGATGCAGGATTCTGTATCAGGTTCAGCTGCCCCTTGTGCTGCTCCATTGCAGCATTTTCGATTTGGTTTACCTGCCCCTTGTGCTGCTCCGATGCAGGATTCTGTATCAGGTTCAGCTGCCCCTTGTGCTGCTCCAAAGCTGAGTTCTCTGCTTGGCTCAGCTACCCCTCCCTGCACAAATTCTGAAATGACTAAAAAACGAGTTGGTCTCAAAGCTCCTGTTGGTAAAGCTTATACAAAAGAGTCATCGCACCAGATGAAGCACTGTATGAAAAAAGCAGTATGTCAGCCTGACGTTATGGCTCCTGAAGAAGGATTTACTGAGGAATTCAAGGCTGTGGTAAGTTTTCCATCAGTAGTCATTTATATATAGCGTGCTACACATGTCACTTTGAAATCCAAGCTGAATTCAGCTAATGAAAGCTGCTTTAAATATTTGCATTTCAAGGTTCATGGATGTAGAGCCAAAAAAGAACATGGTACGGCTGCATGACACTGCTTTCCAATTCAAGAAATGTGAACCTGAAATGCAGAAAGCATGCTTCTTGTTTGCTTGGGTTTTGGTTATTCTTTTTCAAAGTGATAAATCTTATACCCTGAATTCTGCCACTTGTTCCTTACTACTCTAATAGGCTACATTTAAATGGTATTACTTTGTATCATGAGTAGTAGCTGTACCATTAATGGTGGTACAATAAGATTATTAATGGACATTACTCTGTTCAGGAATAATCTTGCTGTTTTATGCCAACGCAGAATATTCAGCAAAACCTTCCGTTCAGTTCAGTAAATAGGAATGAAGTTCTTGAGCTCCAAAATGGAGGGCACTACCCATCCTGTATTCATGCATTACCTAAAAATAAGATATGAGTAGAAGGAAAACTTATCTTCCGCCTTGCCCTGAGATAAACATTTTAGAAATTGTTTTGTTTTCTTTGCTTTATAAACTGATTTTATAAAGAGCAAGACGATATCGAAGTCATGCTATTTTTTGTCCCTTTCATGGGCAATCCATCATGGTTAAGAAACAGTGTAGAATCAGAGCCAACAAGTGGTGATAGTATCTCCAGAGTCAAATCTGGATTTGGCCAGTGTAAAGTAGAACAGGGTAAGAAATTTTTATTTTAAACAATACATTTTTATTTTCATATTGAACATAGAAATGACAGTATAGTGATAATGTGCTTAACACAAGACACAAGTCTTGATTAAAAAGAAAAAAAAAGGTCTCACTAACTCTACAAGGAATTATTTCATTCCTTGTAATTTTGCTAAACAGGAACTTTCTCCAGCTGTAGCTTATGTTTGCGCAAATGCTTTCCTAAGTGAGAGAGAATGAACCTTTTTCAACCAGAAAAAAAGAGGTTTCTTTTTACAAAGAGGAGTGGTTTTTAAACTTTTAAATGCAATTACTTTGTATCATGATGTAGTAGCTGCATGGGTAACTGCAGTAAGATTCCTAGTGAGTATTATTCTCTCCAGGAACAATTAAAGAGCTTCAAGAGGACAAAGAAAGGCAAGATTCAACAGAGAAATGAGTTGACTTCTGTAAACTGGAAAGAAATTTTTGTGCTCCAAAATCAGGTACAGCACCCATAATCTATTTGTGCATTATTTAAAAATAAAATATAAGGAGAAGGAGAAAATATTTTTACTTTAATAACATAAGTCTTGCTATGTTTCATTGCTTTCATGGGCAGCTCAGCAGTGGATATGTAAGAAGCCAGTATAAAATCAGGGCCAACAGGTAGTAATACACCTCCAGAACCTGTTTGCAGCTTGCAGACTTCCTAGGAAAAATATAAAAACATATAGGGGAAGATAAGGGGAATAAGTGGATGGAAATAATGCACGTTATGCAGGAAAATAAAAAGTAGTTGGGTTTTAGAGGATTGGACTGAGAGATGTTGCAGCAGGAACTTCCCCTGGATAGATAGATCGATTGCTGGGGAAGCTAAATGAAATGGTACTATCCAAGTATCCTGCAGGCAAGAGTTTAGCTTTGCTGTTCTGGTATGTCCCTTGCGGTGGGAGAAGTCCCTGTGGGGCATAACCCATTGCCAGTTCAGTAAACTTACCAGCTTAAGGGGTGAAGTTATGATCGACAGGGATATACTGTGGGTCACAATAGTCAGTATCTGTTAGTAATTAACAAAAGCAGGTTTTCAAGAGTATTACATGACCCAAGGGAAGAAGCCACCATGCGATGCTCTCAGTGGAGACTCCTGTCTTATGTGGATTTCAGTTTTTGTGCTTATGTAAGCTTTTAAAAAAACATTTGAAGCAATTCCCCTCTGTCTATTTTGTTCTTACCAAATACATTTTCAGTGTCTTGAATCTTTGGCTTATCCATATCTTTGTTTATCCCATAGGATGGCTCTTGGAATCTCAGTCTGCAGTTGGGAAAAATCTTGAAATTTGATGCTGATGATTTAATTAACAATTTCCTTATTAAAAAAGGCATTCAGTCACTTGGTAAATACTTTTCTGTCATTAAAAAGCAGTACATTGTATTATATTTCCTATCTGTATGTGTTATTACTCTATATGCCTGGTGGAACTCTCAATAAGATATGCTCAAAATTTAAATGGATCTCTTAATTCAAAGTTTTCAAAAGTGCCTGATTTTAATAATACAGTTTCTTTTCAGCTTCTCTCACAATACGGTGTCCTGATTGCTAAGGACATCTCCTGGAGAAATATGTGGAGGATGTGAGAAATATTTGGAGTAGCAACAGAGATTCTTTTAGCTCAATTATTGTATGTACTATATTAATATATCTACTAAAAATAAGGAAAGAAAAGTCTGTCCTAGGAGGGAGGCAGAGATCACTTCTGCTGTTCACATTTCAAATAATATGAATAATATTTATATAGTTCTTCCCTCCTTCCCCCACTGTCTTCTGCAGCATTCAGTACACACTCTGCCTGTACACACTTTGCTGGTTGATTCTGTCAATTGGTGCTCTTTGCTGGCAGCAGACCAGAAAACTTGGTGGGGGCAGGGGAGGGAGGGAGGAGGCAATTCCTACTTTCTAAATGATTAGATGACACAATGCTTTATCAAAGGACAAAAATCTTAAAAGTTTCCCATTATTGCATGTGTTAAAATCAAAGTAGATTAGAACCCAAGAAAACACAAACTGCAGAAATTCTGACAAAGCATTACCAAGTTTAAGTTTGAAAGTCAAGAAATCATTTAAATAGTAATACTACTTCCCTTCTCTTCTTCCTTAGGCCCAAATGGAAAAGAAAAGCTACTGCAGTTGATCGCTACTCTTCTTGTGCTACAGTTCATACGCTGCAAAAAGGAATTTAAAGGGATAGTTTTCAAAACCCTGATGAAACTGGATGATTCATCTAATTCAAGGTGTGCTTTTAAATAAAATCTTGTAATTTAATGTAGCAATATAAACATCAACATGTGGAAGATTAATTTCATTTAGAGAGTCAATGACTACTACAGGATATAGCTGTAGAAAAGGGAATTGAAGGTATTAATCATATTAGTGGCATGTGGTTTCTTTTAAGAGGATGGATGGAGGAAGGAATACTTTGCAAAATGTGATACAATATATGAAAATACAATGCATCCCATGGTATGGAATATCCCTTTGGTCAGTTGGGGTCTGCTGTCCAAACTGTGTTGTATCTCTTCCCAGCTTCTTGTGCCCCCCCAGCCTACTCACTGGTGGGACAGTGCGAGGAGTAGAAAAGGCCTTGAGTGCTGAGCAACAACACAGGATCACGGGATTGTAGGGTTTGGAAGGGACCTTCAGAGATCATCTAGTCCAACCCACTGTGCCAAAGCAGGTTCACCCTGAGCAGGTTGCACAGGAACACATCCAGGAGGGTTTCGAGTATCTCCAGAAACAGTCAGGAGAGCCCTGGAAATCCTCGTCCCTCTTTTGAAACTCCTTGACAGAGGGGAAAATTGATTGTATGCTTTTAGGTACTGTAGGCAGAAATACAAATAGAATTGCCTTGACTTGCTGGATGAAAGCAATTCTAATGTGTGAATGAATGTAAAAAGGAGTCTAGTTTGCCTTTATGAAATGCATAGTACTTCACTGCAGTGACTGGAATAGTGCAAATAAATGCAAGTAATGATTAAGGGTCTAAATGCTTCCCATGTGGAAGATTTTAAAAAGGTCAGCTCAGATGATGATGTTTTCTGCATCAGATGGTATTTTATACAGGCTGGATCATCGTACTATAGAAAATTTTCTCTTTCAAATAATTATCTTTAGAAGAAATCATTTTCTTCTTGCTTCTATGGTGGATGTGCAAGATTTTATTATAATAAAACTTTATTTCTACACACAGTGCTGTTCATTGGGCTTATGAGTCGATCAAGAAGGCAGTTGAGTGGGTAAGAAGAACTGAAAGGCAATTTCCATCTATTTGCTATCGACTTGAACTTGGGAAAGACTGGGATTCTGCCACCAAGAAAATACTGGGTATCAAGTTTATCTAACGTCAATTCTCCTTCTACTGAAAATATTTAATCACATAATAGCAGAGTTAGCTTTCTTTGCAGTCTTACATAAAATGTTTAAATTGAGAAAATTTGTTCTTATATCATTACTGAATAATAATTCTCATAGTCACAGACAAAAGTATGGAATTGAGTCTTAGTGAGTCTTGATTTTACATATATGTAGTATTTTACTTGTAACTGTTAAAGATACCATAACATTTCCATTTTTTACAGCAGTCTTTTCAGTTCATTGCACATTATAAGAACTCCTTTTATAATATCTTTGTTTTGATTTCTCCTAAAATCTTATGTACTTCTTTAATGGCACAGTAAAGAAAGCATCATGTAGTAATTTAGTTAAATATGGCAGGAGATGTTTGGACAGATATAAGAATGTGATAAACAAAGAACTAATAAATATCTTCATAACATATCAGTGTTTGCCGTTGGATGGTTTTGTATGTTGTGTCTTGAAATGCAAATGGCAGAAGAGTTATTTTTCTCCTGCACTGCTTTTCTTACCAGTCATAGGTCAATTTCATAGAATCATAGAGTCATAGAATGGTTCAGGTTGGAAGGAGACCTAAAGATCATCAAGTTCCAACCCCCCTGCCATGGGCAGGGATACTTTCCACCTGACCAGGTTGCTCAAGGCCCCATCCAGCCTGGCCTTGAACACCTCCAGGGATGGGGCATCCACAGCTTCTCTGGGCAACCTGTTCCAGTGTCTCACCACCCTCACTGTAAAGATTTCTGTCTGGTATCTAATCTATATCTCCCCTCTTTCAGTTTAAAACCTTCACCCCTCATCCTATTGCTACACTCCCTGATAAAGAGTCCCTCCCCATCTCTCCTGTAGGCTCCCTTCAGGTACCGAAAGATCGTTATAAGGTCTCCCTTTTTTATTTTTATGTATTTGTGAATACATAGGTCAGTTTTGTTAGGAGGAATGAGTTCTCTCTTTTCTTTTTTTTCTGCTGTTACTTTGTATTCTGATTTTATTTTGATGAAAAACTAACTGCTTGGTTTTATTTTATACTGGACCGAACACCAAAGCGTAGTGACAAAACCAGACTAAAAGTTACTAATTTAGTGGGCTTTTCACAGGTGTTTGGATGAACACATAACCTCTCTGCACAGAATCACGCTTTGTGATCTGAGGAAGTATAATTAGAGACTTAGTACAATTGCTTGCACTGGCGCAGGATCAAGTTTGTACAGAACATACTCTATGCTTTTTTGTCCAACCATTGGAAATATTCAGAAGCAGGAGATTCCACAGCCACCACAGGTGATGTGCTGCACTGCCCGGGCAAACAGAGAGTGCTCCCGAGCAGTAATACCAAAGTGTTGTAAGAGGTTACTAAGGAAAACTGTGGAATCTTTCATAGTAGTTCTCTGGACAATTTAAGCAAACATCTGCCAAGAATAGAGTATATACACTTGGTCTTGTAGAGGAGGTTGCCAAGAGGGGTAGGTACCTTGAGGTCCTTCTGATTCTAAGGTGCTCTGAATCCTTGTTTTCACATGTAAGATACTGTCTCTTTTTAGTAAACAATATAAAGGAAAGATTTGTATGACACCTTCTATTTGAGAAGAACTAGGATGTGGGTTTCTTTAAGAGCTAGAAAGACTCTTTAATGTGGACAATGATAAACTCACTTCTAAATCTGCTCTTAAATCTTTGTATGGTCAATTGCTGCATTACTAGAGTTACTTTTGAAAGAACTGGCAAAATCATAAATAAAAGCAATAGCATTTTTTTTTCCTTCACTGCAGTTAATTATTCAAATAGTTTGGTGTTTTCACTGTTGCAACAATACATCCCATATGGGTATGTACAAAAAGTATACACTCACTCTAAGGCCTGAGTCTCAGGTCAGTTTCATTTCTGAGATACAGCATATTAGCACTCTGGCTCTAGCAAGGGTAGTTGAATAAGCAGACAGGGTGTGGTTTATTTGCTTTTTCTTACAAGACTTTCTTTTTTTTTTTTTTCCTCCTGTGTGGGCTCAGTTAAAGGTCACTCCCATAGTTAAGATTTACTTGCATCTGGAGCAACAGCGTGTGCCAGTAGTGACCTTGAGAGCAGGGGAGGAGTGAGAAACACAAGTTTTGCATCCTGAAGCACATCCTGACAAAAACCAGAGCACAGACTGGGAACCGAAACCTGTCTTGATAGTAGAATAATTGTTATTGTGATAAGCTCAGTAGAAGGTAAAAAAATATTTTTGTAAGTCCATGATTGGGCGTTATGGGGGGAGTAGGTTTGTGTCTTAGTGTATATAAGTCTCTCTGTGTAGCAATAAAGATGGTCGAATTGGATTTTTGGATTCGCTTAAATCCTGCATGACCTACGAGTCCGTGATTTCTTCATAAGCCACAAATGGTGCCCGAATCGGGTTAAAGATTCAGCAGGACGGTGGTCGAGGACTGGTGGCGTGCCCCCGTGAGCCGGGTACCCCTGTGAGGATACCCCTGTGAGCTGGATACCCCTGTGAGGATACCCCTGTGAGCCGTCGATCGCCAAGGAGCTCCTATATACTCATCGCTGCACGATACAAGGTCAGCCCAGCGCGGGGCCGGGGAAGGGATTATTATAATGGGGCAGTCTGCGACGAAAGCGCAGCAGATACATAAAGCACTTTTAATGAAAATCGTTAAGGAACAAGGATTAAAGTTACAGTCTGTTAAACTTGTACAGCTTTTAGTATGGATTCGGGATAATTGTCCGTGGTACCCCCCCAACGGGTCTTACGATCTCTCTGACTGGCAGAAAGTGGGAGAACGCTTGCAAGCGCGACTAATTGTTGATCAAGATGTTAATCCCGATAATATCGTCGCATGGGGTATCATATATACGGCATTAAGAACATTCCTCCCTACCCATGAAGTGTTTGCTAACTCAGATTTTCCACCTCCACCGGCTGATTTATTGGAGGACACGGCTCCTGCTGGTTCAGCCCCTGACGCTGAGCCTGTCTGTGACTCAGCTCAGCAGCTGCCGTTCACTGCTGTCTTAGTGTATATAAGTCTCTCTGTGTAGCAATAAAGATGGTCGAATTGGATTTTTGGATTCGCTTAAATCCTGCATGACCTACGAGTCCGTGATTTCTTCATAAGCCACAAATGGTGCCCGAATCGGGTTAAAGATTCAGCAGGACGGTGGTCGAGGACTGGTGGCGTGCCCCCGTGAGCCGGGTACCCCTGTGAGGATACCCCTGTGAGCTGGATACCCCTGTGAGGATACCCCTGTGAGCCGTCGATCGCCAAGGAGCTCCTATATACTCATCGCTGCACGATACAAGGTCAGCCCAGCGCGGGGCCGGGGAAGGGATTATTATAATGGGGCAGTCTGCGACGAAAGCGCAGCAAATACATAAAGCACTTTTAATGAAAATCGTTAAGGAACAAGGATTAATGTTACAGCCTGTTAAACTTATACAGCTTTTAGTATGGATTCGGGATAATTGTCCGTGGTACCCCCCCAACGGGTCTTACGATCTCTCTGACTGGCAGAAAGTGGGAGAACGCTTGCAAGCGCGACTAATTGTTGATCAAGATGTTAATCCCGATAATATCGTCGCATGGGGTATCATATATACGGCATTAAGAACATTCCTCCCTACCCATGAAGTGTTTGCTAACTCAGATTTTCCACCTCCACCGGCTGATTTATTGGAGGACACGGCTCCTGCTGGTTCAGCCCCTGACGCTGAGCCTGTCTGTGACTCAGCTCAGCAGCTGCCGTTCACTGCTACGGGAGGAGCAGCCGACGACTTAGACTCAGAGATACCTGAGGATCTCTTTGATCCAGGTCCTATTGACTCTGATCAAGAGCCTGATTTATACCCGCCCTTAACTCCGGTTAAAGCTATGGTGGCTTCTGCGCCAACCGCAGATCAGATTTTACAAAGAACTAAACGACTGACTGCTGGTCGTGCCTCCCTTACACGTCCGCCGCCTTATGCTCCTTCTCTGGACGTGCCTCCTAATAATTCTCATGATAAGGCAAGACGGGAGTTCGTGGAAGAGTGTAGAAAAAGGGCTTTGCAAGATGGTGATATGGAAATGTTTCAAGCTCTGCCTGCTATCTATAGACCCCAGCAGCCTCCTCGCTATGAGATGCTGACATATGAAGTTATCAAAGAGTTAAGAAAATCCGTTAAGGAAAATGGTTTACAATCCTCCTTTACTATTAGTTTGCTGGAAGCGATATCGGCGTCGTGTACTATGATTCCTGCAGATTGGAAAATAGTGTTAAAGTTGGTGTTAACGGCAGGGCAATATTCCATCTGGTTAACAGAGTATCGTGAGCTGGTTGCTGCCCAAGCATTAGATAATTTGGCAGCTGGGCACGCTATCGGGGCTGATCACTTGATGGGAGAAGGGCGATACGCAAGTCCAGCAGCGCAAGTTCAAATGGACAGATCAGTTTTCCAGCAGGTATCTGCGCTGGCCTTACGGGCTTTAAAGCGAGTTCCCGAGGGTGAACGTACAGAGCGGTCCCTTGGGAGTACCCACCAGGGAGCACAGGAGCCTCACACCGACTCCACAGACCCTCTGCAGACAGCTCTTTCTCGACAGCAACTTCCACAAGCTGCTGAACTTTTGTTAATGCAATTAGCAGTGGAAAATGCTAACACTCAACGCCGCGGGGCTTTAGACCCTGTACGTGGCAAGGCTACCGCTCTGAATGATCTTATTAAAGTGTGCCAGCATGTAGGAATGGAAGAGCACAGATTTGAGGTGTTAGCGACGGCACTGGCTCGAAAACTAACTGTGGCTCGTGCTGCTGTTCAATGTTTTTCATGTGGGCAGCACGGACACATGAAAAGGGATTGCCCAAAACAAAGGGGAAGGAGGGATAGAATTCCAAATGAATTATGTCCTCGGTGCCAGAAAGGATATCACTGGAGCAATCAGTGTCACTCTAAATATGATAAAAATGGTGATCCTTTACCCACTCCGCGGTCGGGAAGCGCCAAGAGGGGCGCGCGGTCCGGTGCCCCACGCCATCCCAACAGGGCCCAAGGGCAGATGCTGCAATTAGCACCCCAGCAGGGGAACGGACAAGCCGTGCAGGGATCACCCCCGCCGTGCCACCCCCGGGAGTGCCGGGCTGGACGTGGCAACTGCCGCCACAACAAACGTAAATGATCCTTCTGTGCCCCCGATACCGACAGGACTGCAAGGGCCACTGCCGTGTAACGGACACGCTTTGTCACTGGGCCGGTCTGCGGCTACAAAGATGGGTTTGTTTATTTTACCTGGGATTATTGATAGTGACTATCAGGCAGAAATTAAAATCATGGTATGGACTCCAAATCCTCCCTGTACCGTACCAGCAGGTGAACACATTGCTCAACTAATGCCTCTCCCTAGTTTGTCTCCTTTAACAGACGATGCTGCTGCATCAGCACCAGTCCGTGGAGC